GCCTCCCCTTCTGGGGGGGGGGGGGGCGGGGCACGCGCACACCCCAACGCAGACAGCAGCGCCTCCCAGTCAGCCCACCCAACTTGTTGCGCTCCCGGTTGGCTTGCTTGCAGGGACTACACTTCCAAGGTTGACACGCTCATGCATGAGCGCCGCGAGGCGCAGGTGGGGTGGCGCGGCCCGGGAAGGCGGCAGGATGCCTGCGCTTCCTGATGGGGTGGTGCACTGTTCAACCAGTTTGTGTGGGTGTAACGCCTGTCCCCAGCTTCTCTGCGACCTGCAGGAGGTGCGGCAGAGCGAGGAGGAGAAGGCCAAAGAGCAGGAGCAGGCAGCCAATGCGTACTTGCACCTGAATAGCTACCTCGCGCTCCCCGCCCCCGCGGCCCCTGGCGGCGGGGTCGGCGGCGCGGGCTACGGGGGCATGCCTCCGCAGTTTTAGTTTACAAGACTTTAAAACGTGCAAATGTGACTGAGTTTAGATGTAATTCAGTGTACAAACACTCTAGGGCGACCTACCCCTGAGGAGCTGGACTGGTGCCGTCGGTGGTTCTTGGCGAGGCGGTGACGCTGGCTGGCAGTTTGCAGGTTCCAGTCACGACCTCTGGCCTGCAAGGCCTTGTGGCAAGCGCCTGCAGCTGCAAACTCTGCTGGCCTTCACGGGTCGTACCTTAAGTTGGTGCACCGTCGTTATGACTCAACAGCACCAGGACCTGCACCTGCTGTGCATGCCATGCTGTATCAAACTGCTGTTCTGCCCATGTGAGGAGGACCGAGCAGGCGTGTCCAGAGGTATGGCTGCTGAGGTGTGTGTGTGTGGGGGGGGGGGGGGGGCGGGCGTTCCCCTGGATCCATGAACGGGTGGGTACACAACAAGGTAGGGGGACCGAAATGAACAAATGCACCGGCTGAATGGGTGAAAATGGAAAAAGCTCAACGCCCTGGCCCAAGCGCCATGTAACCCAATGCTAGCGTCAGCACCGCCATTGCCGCCCACACCCCAATCAGCATGGTGGAGGGGAGCGCGTCAGCCCTGCCAGTGCCTCCACTGCCCGAAATCCCCACGGCCTGGGGTCCCCGGGCACCAGGCCGTGGCCGCACCGCTGCCTGCTCCAAGCACTCCACCGCTGCCGTGGCCAACCCCGGCATGAGCAGCAGCATCTGCAGCCGGGCCAGCAGCGCCTGGGTGCTCTCCCCTTCGAACAAGTAGTCGCAGAAGGAGACGCCACGTGCGGGAGGTACTGCCGCCACGAAGGCCCGCCGCGGCAGCGACACCACCAGTGGCTTGCTGCAATGGGCCACCGCAGAAAGCAGCGGGTGAACGGGGGGAAACGCAGCTGCCGCCTCACTGCTGCTGCTGTTGCCTCCTTGCTGCCGCTGCTCTGCCTCTGCAGCAGAGGCCTCCTGTTGCTGCTCCGCAGCATCCAGCAAGGCATCCATGCGGGCCTGCAGGCTGCGCTTGAGGTCGGCCCGTATTGCATTCACCGCTGCGGTGGCTGCCTCGCGCCGATGCACGCAGGCACGGCAGTCCAGGCAGGCCGCCAGGAGTATCAGCCCCAGTGTGGGGCCTTCTGCGCTGCCATGCTGCAGCCCGCTCCCCGCCTTGCCGCCCCCCGCGGTGCAAAAAACCAGGCTGCTGCTGGGCTGCAACAGGAGATCCACAGGGATGGGCCCGCCGCCGCCGCTGCCGCTGCCGTCGTCGGCCAGATCTGCCACCTGGCAGTCGTCAGTGGCCAGCTGGCCACTCACCAACCCCAGCGCGCCGTGCACTTGATCGACCGCACTGTCTGCCGCCGACTGGAGCACAGCGTGCAGCTCCTGCTTGCCTCTCGTCACCGGCACCTGCAGGCGGATCTCATATCTGCAAGGCGGGCAGGTGGGAGACATGCACAAGCAAGGCGGTGCTTCCAGCCACTCAGCAAGGCGGTGCGACAAGATGCAACACAACGGAAGCCACCTTTCGCTTGCCAACCCACTCAGCTGCATGCTGTGGGCAAGGCAAGGCATGGCAAGTCAAAAGCATGGGGAGCACGGCTATGCCGCGCAGCAGGCTGATCGATTCTTCGTCGCACCTGCACTGCAGCTGCACCATTTGGTCCAGCAGGCCTGCCAGCTTGAACTCGCAAGGCCGTAGGCTGCCCCCTGCAGCGACCTCCCGCAGTGAAAGGGCGCCGCTGATGGAGTCAATATGCAGGACCAGCATGGTGGGCAGCCGGCCGCTCAACTCGCGCGCCGCCTGCCCCACCAGCGCGGACAGCAGGGCCGTCGTGCCAGCAAAGGCCGTGGCGGGGCACAGCACGTAAAAGCCCATCACGTCCAGGCCTGCATGGCAAATGAAATGACGGTAGAAGGCTGTGGGTGGACAGGCTTTGATGGACTGCGTGCCCTGTGCTATTCGTGCGCACGCATTCGTGCGCACGCATATGCCAGACCATGCGGGTGCCGTCTTAAACATGGAATTCAGCACATGCACAACCTGCTCTTCTTGTTCAGCCCATTAAACACCTGGCGGCTGACTGGCTGCCACACGTCAGCAGGTGCCCCACCTCCCGGCAGCAGGCGCTCCACTATCGTTGCATGCTCCACCACCAGCTCCTCATCCAGCAGCAGCCCTCCTCCAGCCGAACTGCTGGGCTTGCCACCCTTCCCGCCTTTCTTTGCCGTGCTGCCAGCGGTCACTGACAGCGGCGCTACGCCGTCCTGCATTGGGGCCGAGGCGGTGGGCGGTGACGTGGGCAATCACACCTTTGGCTCGGCTGGAGCTGCCGATGGTACGCGCGTCACTCACGCTGTTTGGAGTTCGCAGGGCCTGCAGCAGCAGGTCTTTGCCAGGCGAGCTGCGCCCAACCAAGGTACCGACCTGCAGGCGGGGCCGGGGAGCGCTCAGGCAAGCTCACAGCATAGACAGGCAAGCTCACAGCCAGTCGAGGGGGTGCGATCATTCGGTCACCTGGGCGGCCGCGCGAGACTGCACGCAGCTCTCAGCGTAGCGCTGGATGGAGTTGTCAACCTGCACGGATCGCCCCATTGCCGTATGCGAATTGAGCGGAATTGAGAGTCCGCCCCCTTTGCTGCTTCCTCATTAGCATTTATCGTACATCGTCTGTTCTTCTGCTGTTTTGCCGTTGATTTCACTGAAATGGTTCGAGTGCTGTGAAATGGTTCGACTGCTGCCACTGAGGTATTCAGGTCATCTGCAGAGACGGGTTGCTCACCCGAGCCGCTCGAGTTTAGCTACAATGCCCAGGGGCGCAGTCCATGGCCAGCGCTCTGGACAAAGCCGGCTGCAGCAGCGCCAGGACCCGCCGCCGCGCCGACACCTTCGCCGCCAGCGGGCGGCAAACCCAACACTTTCGCCGCCAGCGGGCGGCAAACTCCGGTCTAACAACGCGGTGTCAGGCCCCACTGCTGCGGCTGCGGCGCTGCCCCGTGTGCTGCGCGAACGGGACTATGGAGCCCTGGACAAGAGCCAGTACAACCTATTTGTGCAGTTTTTCCGGCAGGCCTCGCCCTATATCGAGGGCCACCGGAGCCGCACTTTTGTGCTGGCCATCCCGGGCGAGGTGGGGCGCCTGTAGCCTGGTAGCATTCTCTACCTGCTTTTGTGGGCATGCGCGCACAGCCAGCTGGGGACGAGTGGACCCCTTCCTCCTGCAGCCCCCTCGACACTTTAGTGCATCCCTCGATTTGCCTGCATGCCCATCTGCCTGGGGTATGCGCCGCTGGCTGCCAGCGCAGGTGGTAGACCAGAAGGATATCCTGCACTCGCTGCTGGAGGATGTGGCATTGCTGCATGGTGAGCGGGTGGTGGAAGAACATGCCTCGTTGCACCGCACAGCTTCCATCCCGCTGGCAGCCTTGTAACAATGCGGTTGCTTCCAAAGTTACTGCACTTGTGTTGCAGTGCAGTGCTGCAAGCAAATCATATAGGCAGCAGGCGAGACAGACCACCGCCGCAATGCCGCCTGCAGGCCTCGGCGCCAAGCTTGTCATTGTGATTGGGGCGCGGCCGCAGATCAACAAGGCAATGCGTGAGAGCGGCGTGGAGCCGCGTTACGAGCACGGCTACCGTGTCACAGATGCCGCCTCGCTGCAGGCGGCCATCCGTGCCGCAGGGCAAGCTCGCATGGAAGTGGAGTCGCGGCTGTCAAAGGCGAGAGCGTTTGGGGCTGGGCTGTGTTCCATGTTCCTGTGCGTGTGTGAGAACCGCATGCTTCAAGTTGGCCAAACTCGCTTGCTGTCATTGCAGGGTCCCATGGTGACAATGGTGCGACGGCATGCGCGGTCAGGCGGCGAAGGTCCACAAGCAGCCTCCCAGCAGCAGCAGCAGCAGCAGCAGCAGCACTATGGGCCCGCACTCACCACTGTGTCTGGCAACTATGTTGCAGCAAAGCGCAAGGGCGTGGTGGGCGGCGTGGACTACCAGCTGACTGGCGTCGTGCGCTTTGTCCAGGTCGGTCGAGTGTGCTGGTTGCGCAAGGTTTTCTGTGTCTGAGATACAGCTTTGGTTTCTACGTACCTATGCACAAACTGATCCTGTGTTCAGGCCGACCCGGTGCGGCGCCAACTGTCGGAGGGCAATGTGGTGCTCCTCAGCAACCTGGGGTACTCGGCAGCTGGAGAGGTGCTTAATTGCGATATTTACAGTGGTGAGCTGGTGGGTTCAGGGAAAGGCAACGATTCTGGTGTGGGCAGTGTTGTGGTGACTCCTGGCCCTGAAACCTGCTTGCCATGCCACTTGGCTGCCCCACTTTCTTGCCGTCCCTGCTGCAGTGGCTGCCCGCGCTGCCATTGACCTGGCCGCTGACAAACTCATAGTGATGACGACCCAGGAGAGCCAGCCGCTGGACTTGCCCCTATGGCTGCCGCTATCGGATGCAGAAGCGATGCTTCTGCGCATGGCGCCCCCTGGGCAGCATGGCGAGATGGAGATGCTGGAGGACGACCTGCAGCGGGGTGAGCAGCAGCGGCTGGGGACAGATGTACAGCGGCAGCTTGTGAGCAGGTGCCACTGTGTGGTGTGTGTTTTGGGGGAGAGCTGCCGGAGGCGTACCTAGGCGGGTGCAAAACGCAAGCACCTGACCGCCCCACCCCTTCATCCTCCCCTGTTCCCATTGCGCCGCTGCCCCACCGGCATCTTGCAGGGTACGCCAGCGGCAGCGAAAGTGGCAACGGCAGTGGTGCCAGCAACTCCTCCTCCACGGCGGCGCTGGACATGGACTTTGATCGCTGGTACGATCTGGGCCTCCCGCCTCCCCTCTTGGCAGCATGTGCCGTCTGCCGCTCCGGCGTTAAGCGTGCACACTTGGTGGACGCCCGCATGGATGGAGGGCTGCTGCTGGAGCTGTATTCTCGGGATGGTGTCGGATCCATGATTTCGACGGACTTCTACGAGGGCATTCGCAGAGCTGGGATGCAGGTGAGCTGCAGGCGTACAGCATGTGTGGCAGAGCAAGTGTGGCAGTGCAACAACCGCTGCCGGCGTCTGATCTGTCAGCCAAACTCCTCTTTGCCTGTCTGGACCGAGCCTCCTCATTTCCTGAGTGTAAGACTTAGGATTGGGAATGGCCCGGCTCCACCTTTTCACTTGCGCCCCTGCAGGATCTGGCCTCCATCCAGGAGCTCCTGCGCCCGCTGGAGGACCGGGGAGTGCTAGTGAAGCGCAGTGAGGAGCAGCTGCTGAGGTGCACAGGGGGGAGGGGCCGCCCCTGTGGCGAGGGTGTGAAGCTGGCCACTTGCCTGCCTGTAGGCAACGTGCACCCCCCCTCCTCATTGCCCCCATGCCCGTTTTTCGTCTTCTGCCCTCATCTCCTATCCCTTTCTGCGCCTCTCGACATGCAGCGAGCTGCCCTACTTCACGGTTTTGGAGCGGGAGTCCAAGGTGCTGGGGTGTGCCGCCATGAAGCCTTTGGGACGCAACGGCGAGGGCGACGAGGTGGCAGAGCTGGCCGCCTTTTGCGTGCATCCCTCGTACCGCGGCGGCGGCAAGGGTGACAGCCTGCTGGAGTACCTGGGTGGGTGCTCAGTCGGGATGGTGTGAATGTTCTGCGGTTGGTTGCAAGCAAGTTGGTGCACGGTTTTTACTACCGGCAGCTCTTCCTTCTTTGGAGCAGCTCACATGCATAAGGGAAACTCCGCTGGGTACCCCAAGCGGTGTGTTGCGACTCGGCTACCCCATGCCTGCCCTGATATGGCTGCAGAGTCGGACGCGGCACAGTGCGGCATCCAGCGGCTGGTGCTGCTGACCACGCGCACTGCCGACTGGTTTGAGCAGCGTGGTTTCAAGCCGGCGGGGGCGGCACACCTCAGCCAGCTGCTGCCGCCTGAGCGGCGGCAGCGCATCGACCCCCTCCGCAACTCGCAGCTCTACAGCAAGCTAGTGGCAGGTGCCAAGCTGTGACCCAGCTGCGTGGCCCCGTTTGCCTCGTTTGCCTCCGCCGCAAAACTCCCCAAACTCCCCAAAGTGTTGTGTCACCCCCAGCAGAGCCGTCCATTAGTGCAATTCCCCTGCAGTTCTGCTGGTGCTGTGGCCGCGTTCAATTGCACACCCCGTGGCCTGAGCAAATCCAGATCTAGATCGAATGCCTAGGTTGCTGCACAACTGCGTAAAAAGTTGTACGGCGTCCGCAGTACACTCTGCGTCAGCGCCAAACCAGTCCAACACGCTGCTCAGTATCGATCTGCAGATCCTCTTTGTCGCTGCGCCCTCCGCTGTCCTGGGCCGAGCTCCAGCCCACTGCTGATCGCCAAGCGCGTGATTGCAGCTGACTGGAACGAGCCCCCCTAGCCAAAGCCTCCTGTTGCACGGCTGCTCACGCCGCTTCTCATAGCTTCTTGCAGCGGCTGGGCGGCAATCGGCTTGGACAAACCCATGAGCCAACGGCGGGAGGCCGGCTGCAAGCACGGGGCGGGCTGCACGCAGGACGTGGAGGACTACTGGCGGCCCGTGCCAGCCTTTGCCAGCCTCACACAGGTGCGCGGAGGGCGAGAGGGGTGGCAGGCGAACCGCCTCCTTGCATCGTTCAAAGTGCGGTGGGCAGCAGGTCCCCGCGCGCCCCAATTCAGCGTCCCAGGGGGCTAGGGGGGGCGGGGCGCGGCCAGCAAGCTGCAGGGGGACGGGCACTGCTCCACCATGACTACTGCGCCTGCTACTGATCTGGGGTTTGGCGCACCTGTCATGCCCCTGTCTGTGCTCAGCAGCGAGCAGAAAGCGATGTTCCGTCCTGCCCAGCCGCCGCCGATGCATCGGTTGTTTTCATGCCGCTGCTGCTGCAGGGCGTGGTCACAGCGGCCACTGGTGCTGGGGTGACTCTGGTACTGCGCAGGGCCTTGACGGGCACGGGAATGGGACCCTCAGGGCTGGGCCAGGTGCGCACCCCGGGCTGCCATTTCATCTGGACTCCGCCGCGCCTGTTCCCTAGCCTGGCACCTGCCTGCTGGCTCCTGACCGGCCGGATTTCCCGCCGCGCCCCCCCCCCCCCCCCCCCCCCCGCGCACACACACACACACACACTGTGCCCCTGCAGCCCACCGGCAAGGAAGGCTCCGTGTCAGCCGCAGCAGCCAGCAGCAGTGCGACCATGGTGCCCAGCGCCGCAGCAGTCGCGCCCCCGCTGCCGCCCGCGCCGCCGCCGCCACAGCCAGACCACAAGCCGGCGAACGATGTGGTGGCAGGGGCGATGGCGCGGGCAGCTTCTCAAAGCACCATCCACCCGCTGGACACCATGAAAGTTAGGATGCAGGCCGGTGGCCGCAGCGGCATCACCAGCAGCAGCTTGCCGCCCAGCTTGCCGCCCCGGCAGGCCGCGCCGCTGGAGCGCAGGCTGCTAGAAGTGAAGGGCCTGTACAAGGCACGTGCTGGCGCCTCTGTTGCGGGATGCACTGCTGCCAGGAGCCGCATAGCTGCGTCGCCAGTCTCTGTACGCCTGCTAGCCCACACGGTTGCGCAGCAGGCACTGCCTTGCAAGTCTGCTGAGCCCTGCTGCCACCCTGCTGGCTGCAGGGTGTGGTGGGTGCTGCCGCGGGCGCAGGCATCATCATCGGCACCTACTTTGCCTTCTACTCCACCACCAAGCGCTTCCTGCGCGAGAAAACAGACCTGAGCGACGGTGCCACCGCCTTCACCGCGGGCGCCGCCGCCGCGCTGGGCAGCAGCGTGGTCAAGGTGCCGTTGGCGGTGTGCATTCGGTCGGTGCAAGCTGGGGTATACAAGAACGTCTTCCATGCCGCCTCCTCCATAGTCACTGCCGCCGGCGTGCGCGGCCTCTTCACGGTGAGCTGGAGTCGAAGCTGTGGCGCTGGTTTGTGAAGCTGTGGCGCAGGTTGGCTGCCTCCCAGGCAGCACCAATCGCTTGCGGGCATGCAGGGTGCTGACGCTGTACATCGCATATTGGATCAACCGCCTGCCTGCCTGGATTGTGTGCAGGGCTTCCTGCCCACAGTGCTGGAGGATGTGCCCGACATGGCTGTCAAGTTTGCTGTGTATGAGACCATGCGCAACGTGCACACGCGGCTGCGGGGCGGGCGGCCTGCCAATGTGGCGGAGGACCTGATCATGGGCGGCGTGGCGGGTGCGGCAGCCGCCGCCGCCACCACGCCGCTGGACGTGCTCAAGACCGTCATGATGTGCAGCGCCAGCAGCCGCCCCACCATTGTCACAGCTGCGGCAGGCATCATGCGTGAGGGCAAGGGGCTGCGGCCCTTCTTCCGTGGCGTGGGGCCCCGTGCCCTGTCCAACGGCCTCAACTCCGCAATCTTCTTCTGCTTCTTTGAGGCCATCCGCCAGGTGGGTGGCAGCACGTGTGGCAATGTATTCGTTGAGAAGACAAACAGCATGCAGGCACAGCGCCGGCTGGCTTGCGCTGCCCCACATCCTGCTGCTAGGCTCAGCGCTGCTGCGGACTCTTGCCTGAGATGTATCCCTCGGCTGTGCTGATGCAGGTGCTGATCAAGAAGCAGCAGGAGCGGCTGCAGCCCGGGCAGCAGCAACAGCGGCGGCATGTCAAGCAGTTGGCGGCAGCCCAGCGCAGCCGGGTGCCTCAGCTCAAGCTGCAGCCCGTCAGTGCCACCACTGCTGCAGCCCGGCCGCAGGGCTCCCCCGCCGCCTGCCTCACGCTAGCGCTGCCCGCCCCCGGCTGGCAGCAGGAGCAGTAGCATGGCGCGCTAGCCCTACACCTGATGGCTGCGGACTGCACAACAGCTAAAACAGATATCATCGTGCACCAGGCCAGCTCTGACGCACAGGCATCCAGGCATCGCTACAATAGTAGGAGCACAAGCTGAGTGGAGCTGCTGCTGCTCAGCCAGCCAGGAGGCAACCACCTGGTTTGTTGCAAAGAATCCCTGTTACCCCGATGTTGATGATGCCTATGAAGCTTCATTCATACGATGAGTCCCCCCCTGCCCTTCCACTTCACTCGTACTGCGGATCTGTTGATGCCACTCGCACACTGTGCCTGCTTGCCTACCGCTCTTTCCTTCTCCTTCAATCTTTTTCGAATGCACCATTCGAGCCTCGTCCTGCCGACTCCAGAAGCTCTTTCCCTCCTGCACTTACACAAATTTGTGCACCCCTGCCCGCCTGAGGGCAGGCTTCGCCCCCTCCTGTTCTGCCGCCTCACACCTTTTGAGATTGCCAAGCCAGCTGTGCATGTGAAACGCACTGCGGTAGGTGTGCTACAGGGGGTGGGCTGGCACAAGCGGATGAGAGCAAGCAGGAAACCAGTGGTGGTGGAAACAGTACAAGGAGCATCAAATCAGCATTTTAAAACACTGCAAACAAACATTGCTACAGAATGAGGTTGCACATGTGAACCAAGCGCTCCATTTGCCTCTTTTTCACTATGGTGGGATCATCGACCCCGGTGGCAGCGCTGAAGGTGCCGCGCAAGCCATCGCCAGTCCCGCGCTCATGGCTATTCCCCCCGGTGGCGCCGGGGCCCCGGGTGCCACCACCGCCGCCACTGCTGAATTCTGACCCGTGATGGTCAGTGACATGACGCCTGACATGAAGGAGGGGGCACTGCCTCCGCCGCCCATGGCGCCGCCATTGGCATGGTCTCCCACGGTGGGTGCCACAGTGGTGATGTCGTGGATGCTGGCTCGCCGCTTGTCCTTCTTGTTCTGCGAGTTGAGGCGGATGAAGTATTTTTGTGCATGGCTGGCGACCTGCGGGGCAAGCACGCAGTGACATTGACAAGGTTAGCACAGCGCAGCACGATGCATATGCAGAGGAAGCTAGCAGCGTTGTGGTGGTGGGGCCGCTGACCAGCACGGCCCGCCGCAGGTGCAGCAGCCCGCCTCAAAGCGGTGCAATCCCCAAGACTGGCTGCCGCCCGACCTGCGTGGGGGTGCGGGTGATGACAAAGTTGCGGGATATGGAGCGCCAGTCGCCCTTGCCGTACTTGGCCAGCCCCATGAGGAAGAGGCGGTGCTCCTCCTCGGTCCATGGGATGCCCTTGCGCCGCTCCGTGTCCTGGCTCTTCACCTTCTTCTGCAGCTGTGCAACCGACAGCGCCTCGCCCGGCACCGGGTAGTTGGGCAGCTGCACACGGCCGCAGTCAATGGCCTTCAAGTCCTCCTGCAGCTCTCACAGTGGAGTGGCAAGCAAAGGCTCAGGGGCATCAGCTCGGAGTTCCCTCCTGCACACAGCTTGCGTGCCAGTGACAAGGGCAACCACAGAGAAGAACGCATGGGATGCACACCTCCAGCTGCAGGTACCGCCGCTGCACCGCTGGCAGGTCCTTCCGCGATAGCAGCGAGGCACACTTCTCCAGCCTGCTGTTGGTTGCAAAGCAGCGCACAGCGTGGCGTGAGCAAGCTGCAAGTCCATTGTTGCTGCTGTCTGTTATTACTCGTGCATTTTCAGCACAGTACCTGTCATTGTGCTCCCAAAATTGCGCCAGTGCATTCTCAAACACCTTGTCCTCCTCGGTGCTGCAATCCAGGGGCGGTGAGCGGAGGCACGGCGGCGGTGGCGGGGGAGGAGGTTGCGCGGTGGAGGCGCGGCGGCGGTGGGGGGGGAGCGAGCAGTGGGGAGCTCCCACAGCACGCGTTGGACCCTCCCCAAATGAGGAGCCCTCACCTCCACACAGCATCCACAGGAGCCCCTCGCAGCAGCGCGGGGCGGACGGCCTGCATACCGTCGAGCTGCTTGCTGCGAGTCAAAGCGGTGCTCTCAAGAGTTACTACACAGACAGCTAGAGAGAAAAGCGGGCGGGACCGACAGGCAAAACATGTTCCTTATCCGTGGCACAGAGCGCTCATCATATGTCTTTTCTTTGAACATTTCTTCACCGCGCCTGACAACAACTACAGTGTACCAGCCGGAGGCTTGTGTGTGAAGGGGGCGCCGCCTGTGCCGCCGCCGCCACAAGTGTGGAACACGTTAAGACGGCGTTGACAACGACAACACTGGCACTACTGCACTTGACACCCCTATGCTGAATGAAAAAAACTTATGTTGAGTGTTGAATGAAATGACACCCCTATATCGTGACCCCTATGATTCCCCCGGACTTCTCCAGACATCTCCATGATTACAGGAGGTGAGCCAATAGTGTACGAGGGAGCAGCGCACGTTAGCCAATGAATATATAGCATGTGTGTTGGAGTTTCCTTCACGTCATTCTATGCTAGAATCTTTCGTCGCGTCGCCGCTACTGCTGCTGCCGCCCCTGGCAACACTGGCCGCGGCGAAAGGATTGCCAGCAAACCACGGTGAATCGGCAAATATGGACGGCCCCTGGGGCCCTGCCGCTGCCGTCGGCGCCACCAGCGTCGGCGCTGGCGGGGCAGATCCAGCAGGGCCAGCAGGGCTGAAAGGCATGGGGCCAGCCACCAATCCGCCGCCCAGCCTGCCCGGCGCGAAGCCGCCCGCGCTGCTGCCGGCAGCAGCCAGGGCAAGCGTCGGGCGGCCGGCTGCCCAGGCGGAGCCCTCAAAGATAGAGGGTCCTGCGCGACTGCCGTCGCCGCTGTCGCTGTCTACGCTCGACTCTGCCAGGCTAGCTCTATTCAACCAGGGCGAGTTCAAAAAGGGGTCTGCGCTGCCACTGCCGCTGGTCTGGCTGCCGTCCTGGGTGGAAGAGCCAGCATTCCAAGTGCTGCCATTGATGCTGAGGCCACGACGGCCGCCCACAGGCATGCCATCAAAGCTGGGCTGGGTGCCAGTGCCCAGTGAAGCACCCACTATGGTGCTGGCTCGGCTGTCGCTGTGCCCAGCGTGGCTGTTACTGCCGCCAGAGGCGCTGCCAGGGCGGGCCCCAGGACCGGACCCAGAGCCATTTGAGCTGTCAGCGGCCCAGAGGCGGCTCCCACCGCTGTGGCCACTTTGGTGGCCACTGCTGGTACCGGCATTGAATGCAGAACCGCTGCCGCTGCTGCTGTGCATGCTGGTGCCGGGCAAGCCATCCAGGCCACGCAGGCCCAGGCTGCTGTTGCTTCCAGCGCGGGCGGGCTGGGCTGCGCCCATGGATGGGGAGGGGCTGGAGCTGGCGCCGGAAGTGGTGTCCGCCTCTGCTGCCATCCGCGCCTTCTCCTCCTGAAAGCATAGAAAAATATTTGACTCAAGGGCAGAGAGGAGGGCAAGGAAACCAGCGGGATCAAGGGAAGAACGGATGACGAAGGCTCAGGATATAATGTAGAGAGCACAGCATGCGGCGCCTGCGGGGTAGTGAAAGGAACGCGGCACCTGCCCCTCCCCCTGACACACCATGAGCCTGTGGATGATTTGCTCCATGGTGGGCCGCTTGGCAGGGTCGACATCCAAGCACTCCCTGACCAGGTCCACAGCCATCTGGGGCGCTTCCTGGGGTACTTTGATGTCACGAATTTGCCCCCGCACTGGAAGCTCACGCGTGCACAGCTCCCACAGCACTGCGAGGCCAGACGGCAGGGCGCAGTGAAGGATCAGGGGGCCACCACAACTAAACGCTTGCGCCAAATCTCATATGAACAGGTGCAGTCCCCCCTCACCACACCACCCGGCACCAGCACACGCGCAACACACATGCATGCAGCCCAAGCAGAGCAGGCACACACCCAGGCCGTAGGAATAGACGTCTGCCTTTGCTGTGCACTTGAGGCCAATGAGCTGCTCGGGGGCGGCCCAGTTGAAGGTGCCACCATCGCCTGTGATGTAGGAATGGTAGAGGATCTGGGCCCATCCGACGTCTGCACCGCCGAGGTAGGGCAACAGCGTCAGGGCAGGTAGTGCGAGAAGTAAAAGGAAGAGATCAAAAAAGGGGGGGGGGGGGGGGGGGGGGGGGGGGGCCCCGGGTTTTTGGGGTTGGGGGGGGGGGGGGGGTTGTTTGGAATTCCTGGGGGGGGGGGGCCCCTCCCCCCCAA